ATATCAGCAGACTGATGAAAAATGGCAGTTGTTGTTTTGATTAATTGAATATGAAATTATAATATGCACATGTTACCGATTGCATATAAAATCATGATAAGTGTTATGTTATGTGTTCTATAGGTTATTTTAGTAAATCTCGCTACGGTAAGTGGACGGTAAATGATTTTATTATTGATAAATGAATTTGCTTAATTAAGTGCTCTACTAGTTGTTTTAATTTCTCTACCAACCTTCATTTCTATATCGGTGAGTAGTGTGATATTCTTATTTGGATAGTGTAGCTCATTTATTATTTAACCATTTCAGATAAAGAGGACTAAGATCCATAACCCGATCCACAAGAAGGTTGCGAGTAGGATGCTAGTTTAATTTATTTTACGCTTATTTCTTTATTTTTTTTGTACTTCTTCAAAAGGATAATTCTCATAGCACTATTCGGTATTTTAAGTTCTTGTATAAGGAATGTAACATTAACTATTTATTTCACTTTCGCGCTTAATTCATAATTTATTTCCTTTGGTATTTTCGGGGTCGTTACATACATTATATGCTTAAATGTCGTTCTATTGATTTGTAAATGTGAACTGAGCTATTGGTATGCGATTGATGATTGATTGATGACGTAAATTTATATATGAAAAACTTATTGGGTACTCTGAGAAATGGTGGACGGATCTGGTACATAAGAAAAATCTTACTGTGGACATTATCTCAGTCAAATGGAGCTGAGAAGTCCCATACTGGAAAGGGTTGGGAGGTATAGTTTATCTTCATATCGGACGAGATATTGAGGCGGTGGTATGTTTTACACTCATTATCAGACGGGGTATGAGGACCACCAGTTGATTAATAAATTAGATATTGGATTCACGTGTAGGAAAATATCCCTATTGACCCCCAAGGGCACTGATAGACAAGTAAGTTTTAGAAACTCATAAAAGTAAGTATGAAAACTACGTTTTTATATTAAACAAATTTATTTAAAAAGACAAATGGCTCCATTGATTGTTTTATAATTTTTTTTCAACATTTGATTTTTCTTATCGGTGTTGTAACGCTCGAAAAATTGGGAAATTTTGGTTATTTTATTATTAATTATTTTTATTAAGTTTTTAAAAAAAAGAGTGCCACGTCAGCAGACCCAGTCAGCAGTCCTGGCCAACCAGGACCTGCCACGTGACAAGACCACGTCGACCGGGGACGGGCCACGTTGGCGATCCGCGTACGCACGATCGGACGGCCCAGATCAAGCGTGCGCACGGACGGCCCAGATGCAATCGCACGGACGGCCCAGATTAAATCAAAATGGACGGCTGAGATCAAAAGGCAAAAGGGTATAAATAGAACCCCCACACCTGACCACAAAAACCCTAGCCGCCTGCCCTCGCCGGAGAAGACGAACCAGACGCAGGAGAAGCCGGCAGCCGCCACCCGCCGCCGCACCGGGGAGATTTCCAACCGCCGATCGAGGTAAATTTCATACCCCCGACTCGTTTTTCTACGCTGATTTCCCCTGTGGCCAAATCGGAGCCAAAATCCCAGCCAAACGGCCGGAAAACACGGCCGAAACCCAGCGGCGCCGCCGTGGCCCTCCTCGACTTTTGCCTCCGATGAGGCCCTTCCCGGCCTCCGTTTGATGCAATTTTTATATCACCGTGATCACCATTCTTTTCTTTACAGGTTGATCGGAGCCGAATCACCAAAACACGAACCTCACCGAAGAGCCGTCGCACCCGAGAGCACCGCCGCCGGTAAGCTTCGGTTTTTCGTAATTTTTTTGGCCCCCTGAGGGCCCTAGGGTTGTTTCATCGCAGGGACCGATGCAAGTGTGGTCGAATTCGGCCGAAAACGGTCGAAAACGGCTAACCCGAGGCGAATCGCCGCCGGAGCACGGCGGAGCCGCTGTGCCGGAATTGCGACATTGGCCAAAAAGGGTCCCTGGGCCTAATTTTGGATTTTTTGGAACACGTGCAGGTACCGGTAGTGCGTTTCAGTTCCCCAGAAAAAATTCAGGGAAAATTAAGGACAGGCTGTAGGCGCACTGTGAAGCCGTGTTCGGATCCCGAAATGAGTAAGGACCCCTCACCCTATTTCCTATCACGGTATTAAAGTTCAATACTGATAAAACGGTATTTCTTGAATCAACGAATGTGTGAAATTGCTTAAGGTCGCTAATGGAGCCCGAGTCTAGTGTGTTTGTCGGTTAACTGTTATTTGGCATATTTTACAGTTTTAAATGCAGTATGAGGTCTGGAGTTTTTATTTCATTGTTTCGCGTGCATATTTTACTGTTTTATTAATTATGGGTTGAATGACTGAGAAACCGATGCTGTATGTTGTCTTGTTTGGCATAAATTACTGTTTGCTTGTTTGTATGTAAATTGATGATGCTGATTGAGGAAAAGGGGAATGAAAGATATGTAAATTGATAATTGTATAATGTGGTCAGGCTGACTAGATATCCTGGGAGATGGTGGACGGACCGGGTCCGTAGGGAACCCTACCGGGATTGTGGTCTCTCATACCGGACGGGGTATAGAGACTTTATGTGTTTTGGCGCCCATACCGGATGGGGTATGGGGACGGCCCGTTTCACCCTCATACCGGACGGGGTAATGAGGTTTATAATTTTGGCGCCCATACCGGACGGGGTATGGGGACGACCCGTTTCACCCTCATACCGGACGGGGTAATGAGGTTTATAGTTTTGGCGCCCATACCGGACGGGGTATGGGGACGGCCCTGGATCTGATTTCAAGTGTTAAGGGTTAACGGGTAGCGGGACCCCTATGGGATCCCCATGGATACTAGTGGGGCTGGTAAATGACAAAATATGTTGTGTAATGATTGAATTACAAAATGCGTGATAAGTATTATGTTATACAGTTTATATGATTTCTTGATGATGATAATGTTATTGCTTTCGTATATTATTTTATGAATTTCACCGAGGTAAGTGGATGGTAAAGGATTTATTATTGATAAAAGGATTTATTGTAAATTATGCTCCATTGGTCTTTTTATGTTTTCTACCCACCTTTACCTCCGTGACGGTGAGATATCGTGATGTCTTTACTGAGCTAGTGTAGCTCATTCCTTATTTAATTATTTCAGATCAGGAAGACATTGTTCCCGAGCCCGTTCCGCAGGAGGACGACGAAGGGGACGCCTAAAGACTCCATAGTCATATTCATAGCTTTTACTTTCGAGTTTCTCCTTTAGTTAGTTTGATCTTTTACATTTTATGAGCACGTTTTTGGTTTCAGTGTAAGGGATGTTAATCGAAATTTTGACTTCGCTTCCGCATTTGATATTTTTAATACACATTTCATTTTAAATTTCTGGGGCCGTTACAGGTGTTAAGTGTGATATTTTTACTGAGCTAGTGTAGTTCATTTCTCTATTTAACTATTTCAAATTAAAAAGATTAAGATTCAGATCCTGAATAGGAGGAGAGTTGCAAATAAAGATTACCTCCCGGATTCCATCAGAGTTGTCCAACAGAAGTTAACCCCATAAGATTTTTATTTCTTTTTATTTTTAACTATTTATTTCGTTACTATGAGTTCCTATAGAGGGACGTTCTCGTACCTCTATTAAGCATTCTGATGTACTGTGTAATGAATGTAATCTCTAAATTCTAAATTGATTTCGCTTATAGTTGATATAATTCAATATTTTTATTTTCTTAAATTTTAGACAATTACAATAAATCATATATTTTTAATAAAATTTAAACTCAGTAATTTTTTAACATAACATGAAAGTGTTAATCATTAAAAACAATTACTTTTAACACCAACATATGGTTATAAAGATTAAGTGGGAACATATAAATTTGTTAGCATGAGGGTAAGTGGAAACATGGTATTTGGTTTCCTTGACATTAGTGATTTAACACACACCAATGCCCATACAATCTCCTCCACTACCACTACTACTTCCTCCTGCCTTCCAATTAAAAAGCCACTCACTAACTAATATCCACCGATTATTTACAATTCTACTTTCTCTACCAATCATTTTCTTAAATAACTATAATTTTTTTTTTAAAAAAAAATCAAAATTAAATCTCTCCACGTGACGTGGCACCTAATTATAGCTTCTTATATGTATATATATTAATGAAATAAAAAAGCATACCTCGTGGTGTTGTAAGCAACTCTGCCTTCTTTTTTCAACGAATCTGCCAACCAACCAAACAACACCTAATTTGTTAACTACCAAGTCGGTCGTCTCCCAAATTTGTTAACTGTATTTTCTTTAAATAATTTTTTAAGAATGAAAACTATACCTTAGCTGCAATTTTGTCAATGGACATCGGGCTAAATCAAGAATGGGCTGTTCCGTCCAAACTCACTTTGAGAATCTAAAACGTAACGTTTTATTAAATTTACAGAGACACTAATGGAGTACAAATATATTTTGTGACAAATAATAAAGTAGAAATAAAAAAAATTATGTAATTTAATATATAGAAAACTTGTATTAGGTAAATGTTGAAATTGAATTTAAAATATTAAAAATAATAATTAAACGAAGTCGGTCCTCTCCTAAATAGGAAAGGTCCACGTAGTTACTATTTCAACTCCCTCCAAAGGACTCCTCCTTCCCCATGGTTCTCCTATTAAAACCGCGTTTGTTCAACCCGAAATGTATATACAAAAAAATGAAATTACGAGTGTGTTCATATTTGACTTGGCAAACAGTCCAATTTCAATGTAGTTCTCTCAGTCATCACCTTCTTTTTTTTAAAGAGTACACTTAAAAAGACTGAAGAAGTTTAAGAAGTTGGTCCCACACTGCTCTACTATTCTATGTTTGACCGAGCTCCCCACCGAGTCAACTCACTACTCACTACTCACCCCTCACCCTCTTGCCCACCATTCACTCCCCCTGGTTTCCATTTATTTTTTAAAATTAAAAAACTATTAAATTCCCACCACTTGTCACGCAACTTCCTTCTCCTTCCTTCCCCATCACTACTCCCCCTTATAAAACTCTCTTCCTTACTTCTCCCCCACTATCACTCAACTCTCAATTCAGGTACTTAACAATCTCTCTTCAGATCAGAACCTTGAAGAATTCATCCATGGCGTTAGAAGCTCTTAACTCACCTACTACGCCTTCTCCTCATCCTTTCCCCTTCGAAGAACCCGCTAATCTCCACTGCCTTGAGTCATGGACCAAACGCAAGCGCTCCAAACGACCCCGTTTCGACCATATCCCAACAGAGGAAGAGTACCTTGCTCTCTGTCTCATCATGCTCGCTCAAGGTGGTGCTGCTGCTACTGCACCATCTCCGGCTTCCACCAGGACTGTCGACTCCCACCGCCAGCGCTCCCCGATTCCGTCTGTGCCAGTAGCGGCTGCGGAGGAGAAGGTTAGCTACAGATGTAGTGTCTGTAACAAGGCTTTTCCTTCTTACCAAGCTCTCGGCGGTCACAAGGCTAGTCACAGGAAACTAGCAGCCGGAGCCGATGACGGTCAGTCAACTTCCACAACCACCACAACCTCTGCAACTACCATGGCCGGTACTGGTAAATCGCACGAGTGCTCCATCTGCCACAAGTCCTTTCCCACCGGCCAGGCTCTCGGTGGTCACAAGCGCTGCCACTACGACGGCGGTGCCGCCAACAGCGCCGTGACTTCCTCCGAGGGCGTCGGGTCGACCAACAACGTCAGTCACGGCCACGTCAGCCACCGCGACTTTGACCTCAATCTCCCTCCTCGGCCGAATTTCTTCATTTCCAGAGACGTCGATGAAGTGATCAGCCCCATGCCGATCAAGAAACCCCGCCTACTGATTGCAACCACCAACACCGAATCCTCTCAAGAAGCTCATCAGTGAATTAATTTGTCATTAGGTTAATGAATTTAGGCAAATCGGAGACTGATTTCCGCGCAGAATTTGTTATTTTTCTTTTCATATTTAAATTTTTTAGGGGTGGCAGCGAAATTTTTCCTGTACATATAGGACTGTGCTAGCAAATTATCAGAATTTTTATTCTTATTCAATTAAATTGATTTATTCTATTTTTCTCTTCCTCTCTTCAGTTTTAACTTCATTGAATGTTCTTTTCCGATAAATTTTTCTCCTGCTCATGATTACGATCAGCTCACGAGTTCCAGATCTTAACGAGTGTAGTAAGAGAAGTACTAAAGTGCGCCGGATGCAATGATGAGTTGGTTAACCTGCGCAACAAGAAAGGCCATCACGTTGAGCACGCAGGTCAGATCAGCCGCGTGAGTTTGTTATGCTTGAAGTTGTGGCCATTTTGCGCGTGACACAGTGTACTCCACAGCTTGAAACGTATAATTTATTTTTATTTATTTATTATTAGAAAATTAAATTTTAAAAGATTGTTTTTTTTTTTTTTTAACTGTTAGTACGAAAAACCAAAGATACAGTTCATGGGATTCACGCTTATGGGCCTTTTTTTTTCCCCCCCACCTCTTATGATAAGTTTGAGTTTTTTGTATCTTCATATTTTTTAATTATATAAACAATAAATAATTTTATTAATTAAAAAATAAATCGGACTTCCATTATTTAATATTAAAAAAATTAAAAAAGGATGACGAGGATTGAAATGAAACGAAATGTTCCTGTTCGGGATAAGATTAAGAAGAGAACGAACGAGATTGGATTAACTTACGGTTTGTTTGGGACACTGTTTTCACATGGAAGAGATTAGCATGGCACGTGGCTTTTGGCTAAGATGCAAAAGCTCAAATTTCTTTTGGATGCTGTCTCTGCTGATGTGTCATCCTCTGATTGGCCCAGATCAGCAAACTAGTGCTGTAATTGCCTTATTATACGGAAGTGATTCATGATTTCGTAGCTTCGTCATTAACACGTGTTATTTGTCTTTTTGTGAGGGATTCAAAGCGTTCAATAAATTCATGGATGTATAACAGTTTTTCCCATTGATCTCTAATCTTGTTAAATTGTTAATTTCCTTTTTTTTTTTTTTTTTTAACTCGCTTTATTTTATTTTATTTTTAAATAAAAATATTATGTATAAGACTAAAAATCTATATCAACAATCAACTTATGGTTAAAAGTTACCAACTCGTCAATCCACTAAATATACATTTTAATTTATTAAACCAATTTAAGTTAAATAAATATGAGCTAACGAAATTAATTCCCATACCAAATTAGAGTATTTGATATTGTTAGAACTATATTGTATATTCTAAATTTATAATTTTAATATTTCGTAATATATTTTTTTATAAATAAAAATATGATTCTTAAAGATATTTGATGAACAAAAACAAACCCACATGAAAATTTCACTTAAAAATAAATTATAATTATTTCAGATTTTCAATATGGAAGCAATGTTTAACTATCCAAAACATTAAAACACACATGGTACAAATAATTTACTTATTTCAAATATGTATTTCTTAAAGGTAAACATAAATAATGAAGTGTAACTGCATACGTGTATATATATATATGTGTGTGTGTATATAAATATAATCATAAATTACACGCTACCCGGTAAGAATTCATTTGATGGGGAAGGTTCCCAAAAATTTGTTGGTTCTCAAATATTTTATACGACAAAATTTGGGAAGTTTCAATGTAGGAATACTTGTAACAATTGATATTTACGCATCCTCCCCATTCTTACAAGATGTTTTATTTGAGCGTATATATCAGTATGGGATCATATTTTATTAATAATATAATAAAAATTTTGTGGAATATAATTTTTATCAATAAAAAATATGAAAAATATCTTATTCCTTTTTAACTCTATTACGGTGATAAGTTTAATAGAAAGTTAAATGTAAATTTGTACTTGGGACAAATTTATCTTGCACTTTATAGAATTAAATTTATATAATATAAACTAAACCAAGACCTAATAAATTATGGGCTTTGCTTCAACTGTTTCAAGGAGAGATTATAACCAAATGGGCTAGACCCACATTCACCGCCAATACGGCAGAACTGAAAAAACTAAATTGATGATAATAATAATAAATATATTTGAATGCTTAAATAAATTTTAATTAAAAAAATTGGTAGTAAATATGAGCGGGAGAAAATAAGCTAACGAGAATAGAAGTAATTATGAAAGATAATTTTATTTTGCTTAACATAACAAACAACATTTTACATTTTCTGTAAAAAAATATAATTAAATTAATTTTGTAAGTAAAAAAATTAAATTATAATCAAATCTATTTACGTTGGAGTGTAAACAACAAATATATTACAATATGATATGAAAAGTTAAAAATGCTGAAATCAATTTTTTTTTTTAAATTGACATCATAAGTTAAATTTTTGAACAATTATCACATTTTAAAAAATAAATAAATGTTTAAATAATAAAACTTATTTATCTACTAAAAGAAATGTAATAGCCTAGATATAGGAGGGAGGATGGACGGTTCAGATTAGATGGGTATTCAACGGTCTGGATTTGAGGTTAGGCTGAGTATAAAAATGGGGTCGGGCTGAGAAGAAAAAGGGCATAAAACAGAGAGAGAGAGAGAGGAAACAAAGGGAAGGGGAGGATGGGGAGTGCGCGAGGAAGAGAAGGAACCGAGTAGGACGAGAGACGATCGACCGAAAGTTTATGGGAAGGGGTGAGGCTGCAGTAGAGTTTGTGAGACAAAAGGAGTATGGAAGCGAGATATAAGAAGAATTTGGAATTTCAAACTTAATTAGGGCAATACACTGTGAAATCTTGTGTTGCAGGTTAGCTAAGGTGCACCGAGATAGGGAGACAGAAGTATGTGAGGTGTATTAGACGAAGAGGTGTGATGGAAGGTCGAAGCCTGAGGGAGAGAGAGAGAACATGTTGTCTGAGCTGTAGGGATGAGTACAGTTCTAGTAGGTAGGAATATACCGTATGTGCGAGAGAGAGAGGTGGAAAAGACTCAGGATTAGTGTTGTGTAGGCTGGAACAGAGCATTTGAAAGAGGAATCGGTGTGTAACCGAAAGGTGAGGGGAGTTAAGAAACAAATTATATTTGGCTTGATATGGACGGCTAGACAATTCTCAGCTTTCAGTTTCATTCAACTTAATTTTTAGTTTGCAAGGATGATACATTTATAGAGCTCAGCAGCTCTTTACAGTGATTCAAAGATACATACACTCCACAAGAAAACAATAAACATTTACTGTCGATCAACAAGAAAAAACCCAGAAAATATACGCAGCTTTAACGGTTTTCAGTGAGGGATGATTGTGTTTTTCTAAAAGGACGATTGCACTCCACTTGTCGGCCATGCATATTTTGTCTAGGAGTTGTAAGATGGGTTGGCATGCTAATTGAGACATTTTACTGACCTGGACAAGTTGGCACACTTATCTTCTTGAG